TGTGTGTGTGTGTGTGTGTGTGTGTGTGTGTGTGTGTGTGGTGCTAGGTCTCAAACTCAGGGCCTCATGAATGCTAGGTAGATGTTTTACTACTGAGCTATATCCCAGCCTATACAGATGCAACTTTAAACTTAGTAGCCACATTTAAAAAAGGGAAAATTCATCAGCATAATATATTTTAATGCAATACAGTCATCCTTCGGTTTCCATGGACAGTTCATTCCAGGCTCCTCTCAGAGGCTCCAATCTGTAGGTGCTTAATTTCCTTATGAGAAATGGCACAGTGTTTGCATAGAACCTCTGCACTTTCTCCTGTGTACTCACAATCTCTCCCGCTCATGATATCTAACAAGTGAAATGCTACGTAAGTAGTGCCCATGCTACACTGTTTAATGACGAGCAAATAGAAGTCTGTATGCGTTCAGATCAAATATTTTTGATCCAAGTTGACTGCATCCAAGGACACAGAACCCATGGACATGGAGAGCTAATCTATGCCTAAAACATTATTATTTCAACATGTAACAATATAAAAATCGGTAGCTCATTATTTCTTCATGCCAAGTGTTGAAAACCCAGTGTGTATTTTCTGCTTCTAGCACCTCTCACCTTAGACTAGCCACACACTAGAGTGCCACCTTATTGCGCAGGGCGCTTGTAGACATCTCATTAACTGTCATCTTCACAACAACCTTGCATGTTAGGTATAATGGCCAGAACTTTTTCTGTTTGAGGAAATTGAGGCTCAGAGAGGTTGAACCTGTAATATGGCTGCTGAATGATGAAGGTGAGGTTTGGCCAACTGTACAACTGTATAGGGGCGGATGCATCTGGTTCCAATGGGCCTTGTGACATACGGTGGTTTTATGTCCTTTGTAGGACCAAACTCCACCTAATTTGGGGTTCCCATTTCAAGCCCTCTCTTTTTTTTGTTTTATTTGTCTTATGAGAATGAGCATTTTTTTTCTTTTTTTTTTTTCATTTTTCTTTTATTATTCATATGTGCATACAAGGCTTGGTTCATTTCTCCCCCCTGCCCCCACCCCCTCCCTTACCACCCACTCCACCCCCTCCCGCTCCCCCCCTCAATACCCAGCAGAAACTATTTTGCCCTTATCTCTAATTTTGTTGTAGAGAGAGTATAAGCAATAATAGGAAGGAACAAGGGGTTTTGCTGGTTGAGATAAGGATAGCTATACAGGGCATTGACTCACATTGATTTCCTGTGCGTGGGTGTTACCTTCTAGGTTAATTCTTTTTGATCTAACCTTTTCTCTAGTACCTGTTCCCCTTTTCCTATTGGCCTCAGTTGTCAAGCCCCTATCTCTCAAAGGCTTCTGTCAGTCTGTGCTGAACTAAGACCCTGACACCTCAATCCCTCCCACCTGCACCCCATTCATCCCACTGACTCCTACATGTTTCTCAGCTTGGTTCTGGTTTCTCTAACCCATTGCCACTTAGGGGGCACCAACTGACCTTCATTCCAGCACTGGACACTGGAAATGTTCTCTCTGCTGCTCTGCTCCCATCCTTTTGGCCTCTTCAATTCCTTCCTCACCAGCAAAGTGATCTTGTCGAAACATAAACCTGACCGCGGTCCTCCTCTGCTTTGAATCCTTGGATGCTTTAAGATAAAGACCCCTTGCTCTGTGACCCTGGCACCAGCTGGCTCCTGCCACCTTTGCCAGCCCTGTGAAGTACCCCTGCCCTTCCTCCTTGGACTCTGCACACCAAATACTTGCACTTTCTCACCACAGGGCTTTGTGTATGCTGTTTCTTCTGCATGGTCTGGGTTTTTCTCAGCCTTGTTAGTACAGACATTTTGGGGTAGATAAAATCTTTTTGTGGAGTGCCTGTGACCTACGTGGGTATGCTGTGTGAACCTGACTAAGAGTGGCAGGGAATGAGAAATAAGACACACACAGACATATAGACATAAAACATAAAACAGAAAAGCTGGGGACGGGAGGGCTGCACGTTCCTGGTGGGAAACCTGAGCACCTACCTGAGCCAGACTGTTTATTTTATAGGCCAGTACAAAGAAAAGACTCAGGTAAAAATCAAGCTTCAACAATTCTTTGATCTAAGGTGAAAGGAACGAGGTCTGGTGGGCTAATTTTCCTAAGGCTAATGAAGTTTAATTACGACACATCAGTTCTGGAACCATCAAGGCATGCAAGACACCTTGTCTAAGGTATTGATTAATCTTGGCATCAGGGGGTCTCCTAACAGTTCTGGTACTTTATGTAGTTTTGCATCAGGGGGCTGATATGTGGACACAGCAGGTTGTATTCTTCAAGGAGATGTGAGAACAAAGGTCAAGACACCAGGTACTGGGAAAATTATGGTAGAAGAGTCTTTGCAAACTCCATTATTCCCAGTCCAGAATTCATGCCTGGTCTTCAATAGTGGAGGGTTATCCTGTGCATGGTAGGATGTACAGTAGCCTCTCCCCTCTGCCCCACCCCCAATCTGTTGTAACAAAAGTATCTCCAGGCCTTGCCAAATGCCTTCTAGAGGGCAAAGTCTCCCTTGATTGGAAGGAGCTGGTCTAGAGTGACTTTCTAACGTTATTAAATCGCAGCTCAGAAGTCACTATCACATGAAAGCCTCTCCTGACTTCAGGTTAGATTGGAATTCTTCACAGTTAGTAGTCATAGGATTATGGTTAGTGTCTGTCAATATTCACCCATTCTCTGAACCTGATAGCTCTATAGTGGACTGGATTGTTCACTGCTCAGAATAAGGGATGTCAACCTACTCACCTTTGTATTCCCAGGCCTAAGAGATCTCTGCCATGTGCAAGCAGTCACTATTTATTGAACAAACGAGGAAGTAATTTTATTTTTGGAGGTACTGGAGATTGAATTCACCAGCCTTGTGCTTGCTAGGCAGGCACTCTACTGTTTGAACCCTGCCCTCAGCATCTTTTGCTTGTTTCTCAGATAGGGTCTAACTTTTCCCAGGCCAGCCTCAAATCTTGATCCTCTTACCTCTCCTGCCTGAGAAGTGGGGATTACAGATATGCACCAAGATGCCTAGCTTGTTATTGACATAGGGTCTTGGTAACTTTTTTTTTTTTGCAGTACTGGGATTTGAACTCAAGACCTATACCTTGAGCCACTCCACCAGCCTTTTTCTGTAATGGGTTCTTTTGAGATAGGGTCTCATGAATTATATGCCTGGGCTGGCTTCGAACTGCAATCCCCCTGATCTCTGCCTCCTGAGTAGCTAGGATTACAGGAATGAGCCACCGGTGCCCAGCAAGGGTCTTTCTAACTTTTGCCTGGGCTGGCCACAAACTTCAATCTGCCTCCTGAGTGGCTGCCCTACCACATCCAGCTGAACAGATGTATTTAAGATCTTATTTGCTATAAACACAGATGTTTTTTCCAAAACCCAACCTATCATTTATGGAGAGTCTACTGGACAAAGAGATTCCCATCTTATGAGGTAGGTCTTTAAAGATGAAGAATGGGCTTAGGCAATGCTAAATGATTGCTTTTGCCACAGTGGGAGGGCCAATACCTACATCTGTCATCTCAAAGTTCAAGCTGTTTGAATATAAGTATGGATACAATGTTCAACACCTTGACTCAAGGCTGTCTTCATGTGACATTTTAAATCAGGAGCTTGAAGTAAAATGTAACAACCATGATCAAGAAATGTGATTGAGCCAGGCACCAACGGCTCACACATATAATTCTAGCCACTTGGGAGGCAGAGATCAGGATCGTGGTTCAAAGCCAGACCAGGGCAAATAGTTTGTGAGACCCTATCTCAAAAATATCCAACCCAAAGCAGGGATGCTGAAGTGGCTCAAGTGGCAGAGTACCTGCCTAGCAAGCATGAGGTCCTGAGTTCAAACCCCAGTATCTCCCCCCGCCCCAAGAAAGACTCAGAACCCCAAGGAGCTCTATATTCAGTAGGCAATGGCTGACAGGATGAAACTTGAAAACAAATGCCAGCCTGCATCTAAACTGAAGCAAATCTAAATGAGTGAAGAACCAGGTATATACTGCAGTCACACAAGCTAAAAAGCCAGCCAAACAAACCTGTCTGCCAGGTTTCAACAAGGTGAAAGAGAAGATCAGATTTACCCACACTTGTTTAGACACTGCTCTCCCAAATTGTCATTAGTAGTCAAAACATTAAAATAAAAAAGATAGTAGCCAGGCATGGTGGTGTATGTCTCTAATCTCAGCTACTCAGAAGGCTGAAGCTGTAGGATTATGAGTTTGAGGCCAGCCTGGGCTACATAGGGATACCCAACTGGGAGCCCATCCGCTTCAGTTCTGTTAGGAAGGAAACCCATGAAACAAAGAGGATGGTTGCCTTAAGATAGGAAGAGAAGGAAAGAGAGCAGGCGGGGTACACTTCCAAAATCTGCAGAGATAAAAGACTTCCTGAAATATCCATCAACTAAATGACTGTTTTCTCTGGAAAGAAAACAGCCACAGAGGGACTCCTGAGAGATGAAATGGCGAGAGTTGAGGGAATTCTTTAGTAGGCAGGGGTCCAGAACTGTGCATCTCAATTTGACACTAAAGTTTTAGTGTCAGACAGAAAAAAAAAAAAAAAAGATCCTGAAGGAGCTTTGAGAAGAAATATTTTTTCTTTACTCTCAAAAAACAAGTACCATTTCAAAAAAAATTTTTTGCTTAAAAAAACCCAACACAACTTACATAGTACATCTATTACCTGCCATGCTAAGCACTATAGGAAGATAAATAATAAGAGCCCCTGCTCCCAAAAGATCTATAAATTGTAACTGAATTTTGGGACCATTTAAGAAAAGTCTGTAACACAGCATTTTCAAAAGATCTATTTCAACTACTGATATATTTCAACTACTGTAAGTTACAATTGCTGACTTACAACTCTACACAGATTTGTCCCCCCAAAAGACAGTGTAGACAATCAAATTCATCTCAAAGTGAATCTATGCACCTCTTTCTTTGCACTTGGATAACTTCATAATGCAATTACAAGATGGGCCCTAAAGTCAAATAGAAGTTACACGGCAGAAAGGATGAACTAGTTAGTCACTTCGATTCCATTTTAAGGGAAAGGAGGATAAAAAAGCTTACTAACCTCAACAACATCTGACAAGAGCTCATATGACACTTTCATGACAGCTTGTGTAATAACTTTACTGTATAAGAAATTACAGATATTGCATAATTAGGTCAACATGAGAAAAAATAAAACAAGTAAACATGACTATTTTGATGAAATGAAACAGGAAAAATAACCCAATTCTTAAGAATCTTACAAAGTCCCCAAATATGATTCCTTTTGAGAGAAAATTTACCTCTTGCATTTTTTGGATAGAGTAATGTCTTGTAGTATCATTAAGCAAAATGGAAAACCATTTCCCAGTTAAAAACAATACAACACAACATAGATGTGTAGCCCTCTTAACACAGAATGTAACAGAAACAAAGACAGCAGGCTGTCTACTTTTGCCTAAGGCATGGCTGGAATAGCCTATCAGCACTGACAGTTTCTACAGAATATTATATAACCTACTGGTATTAAAACTGCACAAGTTGGAAAATACAAAAAAAAAAAATTACAGGAGTCAGTTTCTTCCTATTCAGGAAAAAGTATCTAGATATACCAGATGTTAAAATTTTCAATTCTTCTTTCATTTTTTTTGCCTTGCTCAATACATAAAAATACAAATAAATACTTCCTTATAAACAAAATTCATGGTATATTGTAAAACCATTAAAACCCCAAAATCTTAATTTACTTTGTCATTAAATAAAAATGCTAATATACAGACACATTTGATATTTATATAAATTGTACAAGTCTGTCATTTCCTAGTCACAAGTGAGTTTTAATAATACTAGTTCATACACAAGGCTCACATCTCAAATACAGGTTTAATGCTAATAAAAGCTACTCAAGATAATATTTTCTCTTTTTTCTGTTTAGCTAAAAAAAGGTTTCACTTTTGGGATTTTAGAATTACATCTGAGTTGTCTGAAAAAATACAATTTCAAGGCAAAAACCATATCAAGCATTCAAGAGTATATTGCTGGTGCTAAAATCTTTTTGCATGTCTTTGTTTTCATAGAAAAAATTATAGTAAAATAAACACCAGGTCTAAGAATATTAAATGGTTAAACATAAGTACATAATATTAGTGACATGCCTCATGCACGCACAGGCACAAACTCAAAATACAAAGGAAAAAGGTCAGCCATCTTTCTTCTGCATTTGTTCTAGCTTTCTTCTTAGAAGACCATAATTCTCCTGGGTGCCTGCTGCCATGGGGTCAAGCTGCAAGGAGATTTCATAGTGTTTCTTGGCCAAGTCGAGATGTCCCCAGCGATGATACAGCACAGCTGAAATAGCAGAGATGAATTTCACTGGAAGCGTTTCTGAGTAACTTGCAGTATTCCCAACCACTGTACAAAGATCTGTTATAGGACCTTTACAAACAGTTTTCAAATATCATTGTTTAAAAAAATATTGTTTGTACTACAAACTTTATTGTAAACACATGCCCCGGCGACTGTCCATTTAGCCCTTTCCAGTTACTCCTAGGCCTCTTCTTATCACTAGATGGGACTTGTCAGCCTACAGCAATGTTATTATCTCAATGCTGCTATGAAATTTCCAGGAAGGCAGGCTGGTTAGGGTGGGGCCATAGCCTAGAGCTCTGACTATGCAGAAGTCCAGCCTTTTATTTTATTTATAAAGAAAAGAAGCCACCTACTCATTTTAAATAAAGATTTCCCTACACCTACAACTTTTGGCAAAGTAGGAACTTGTGTGCTGCCAGCTGGAAATAAAAGTCTGACTGCCACATGATAATTTCAATAAACTTAATTGTTAGCTTGTCACACGGATTTTGTAAATAAACTACCTTTCTATATGGACAGAAGAGCAACATTGATGCTTTGTGGCTTTTGTGATGAGCAGCTTCAGAGTGACAGGGAACAGAATTAGTGAAAAAACTAGGCATGGTGGCATAAACCTGTAATCCCAGCTATGCAGGAGGTGGAGATAGGAGGATTCAGGTCTGTGACTGGCCTGGGCAAAACTGTGAGACCCTATCTGAAAAACACGAGTGAAAAGCAAAAGGACTGATGCATGGCTCAAGTAGTAGAGCATTGCCTAGCAAGTGTGAGGCCCTGAGTTCAAACATCAGTACTAAAAAAAAAACCAAACAACAAAATGAGTTAAGACAAATTTGTGATGACTGAGCATTTTAAGTATTAGCACGCTGGTATTTACAGATTTCTGAGAATCCTAACTATGGTGATGTAAGATTGGAAGAGAGGAATTTTGGGGAACAAATAGCCCCAAGTGCACTTTTAGCCATGGCATAAGGGAACAGAAGCAGAGAGGACCAGTCAGGAGGGAGCAGGTGTGTTTGATGGGAAACTTCCAAAGTACTTCTCAGCTTAACATCACAGCACACAAGGAAGGATGGCTGAGTGCCAACCATAGGAAGGTGATAAATTCAGTAAAGGGAGGGTTTGTCCTGGTCATGAAAAATTATAATTTGTAAATTTGACTAGTATTTAATTATCTTTTAAGTGTCATAATGAAACCATATTTTCAAACCAAATTATGAAGGACATTACAGGCTAGCTTTGGGGGGAAAAAAAACACCTACTCTCCCAACATTAATTTACAGAAATACGCCCATTTCAGGGGCTGGAGGAGTGGCTCAAGTGGTAGAATGCCTGCTTAGCAAGCGTGAGGCCCTGAGCTCAAACCCCAGTACCACCAAAATAAATACATACATACATAAATAAAGAAACATGCCCATTTCATCGTAATTATACAGGATTTCCTTTCAATGATTCAAACAGAAAACTTTCCTTACCCAAATTACCATGGTAACTTGCAGCATTTGGATTTGCTTTAATTGCCTTCAGGAATAAAGCTTCAGATTCCTAAAAAAAAAAAGAAAAAAGAAAAATATACAAAAGGTATTATAAATGAAGCCAGCAATTCGCAGTTTTATTGCCTGTTGTTTTCAGCCTTCTAACATTCTTGTTTGTACCACAGCGTTCTTCCACAACTGGGCTTTGGTGAAGACCTAGCAAGGAGGCCAAAGACTCAGAGCAGACTCAGCAGTGACCACAGAGATGAAAATGAAGATGCTGCCTGCCTCCTGGCAGTGGCTGGAATTCTGCAACTGTAAGCAAGTGGCTTAGTTTAGGGCGCAGTGGAGATGAGAAGGGAGCGAGGACAGGACAAGAAAGGGCCAGCTGCAGAGGATGTGAGTGACAGGGCCATTTTCAGTCTGCATTGATGACCTTGCTGCCTTACTCTTGGACATGAACATGGACACTAAGGACGCACTCATGTCAAGATGTGTTAGATCTTCAAGAAATGACCATCCAAAACTGAACCAAGAGGACATTAACCACCTAAACAGATCTGTAACACGAAATGAAATTGAAGCAGCAATAAAGAGTCTCTCAAAAAACAAAAGACCAGGATGTGACATGTTCTCTGCTAAATTCTACCAGACCTTTAAAGAAGAACTAATACCAACCCTCCTTAAACTGTTCCACGAAATAGAAAGGGAAGGAACACTGCCTAACTCATTTTATGAAGCCAATATTACCCTCATCCCAAAACCAGACAAAGACACCTCCAAAAAGGAGAACTATAGGCCAATCTCCTTAATGAACATCGATGCAAAAATGCTCAATAAAATAATGGCAAACCAAATCCAACAACATATCAGAAAGATCATTTACCATGACCAAGTCGGCTTCATCCCAGGGATGCAGGTGTGGTTCAACATCCACAAATCTATAAATGTAATACAGCACATCAATAGAAGCCAAGACAAAAACCACTGATTATCTCAATAGATGCACAAAAAGCCTTTGACAAGATCCAACACCACTTCATGATAAAAGCTCTAAGAAAACTAGGAACAGAAGGAATGTTCCTTCAACATTGTAAAGGCTACATATGACAAATCTACAGCCAACATCATACTTATGGTGAAAAACTGAAACCTTTTCCTGTAAAATCAGGAACGAGACAAGGGTGCCCACTATCTCCACTCCTACTCAAGATAGTCCTGGAATTCCAAGCCAGAGCAATAAGGCAAGAAGAAGAAATAAAAAGAAATACAAACAGGTAAAGAAACTGTCAAAATATCCCTATTTGCAGATGACATGATCCTATATCTTAAAGATGCAAAAAACTCCACCCAAAAACTCCTAGACACAATAAACAGCTTCAACAATGTGGCAGGATACAAAATCAACTTACAAAAATCATTAGCTTTTCTATATACCAAGAATGAACAAATTGAGAAGGAATATATGAAAACAATTCCACCTACAAATGCCTCAAAAAAAATCAAATACCTAGGAGTAAACTTAACAAAGGATGTCAATACCTCTACAAGGAGAACTACAAACCCCTTGAAGAAAGAGGTTGAGGAAGACTACAGAAGGTGGAAAGATCTCCTGTGCTCATGGGTAGGTAGAATCAACATAGTAAAAATGGCTGTATTACCAAAAGCAATCTACATGTTCAACACAATTCCTTTCAAAATCCCAATGACATTCATTGCAGAGACTGAAAAATCTACCCTAAAGTTCATTTGGAAACATAAGAGACAGTGAATAGCCAAGGCAATACTCAGCAAAAAAAGCAATGCTGGAGGTATCACAATACCTGACTTCAAACTATATTACAAAGCAATAGCAATAAAAACAGCATGGTACTGGCACAAAAATAGATATGAAGACCGGTGGAATAGAGCAGAGGACCTGGATATGAATCCACATAGCCACGCCCACCAAAATTTTGACACAGGCGCCAAAAACATACGATGGAGGACAGACAGCCTTTTCAACAAATGTTGCTGGGAAAAGTGGTTATCTGCCTGTAGAAAACTGAAACTAGATCCATGTCTATCACCCTGTACTAGGATCAACTCAAATGGATCAAGGACCTTAATATCAGACCTGAAACTCTGAAGTTAGTACAGGAAAAATCAGCGAATACTCTGGAAGCAATAGGTGTAGGCAAGGACTTCCTGAATAGAACTCCAGCAGCCCAGCAACTAAGAGAAAGGATGGACAAATGGGGCTACATAAAATTAAAAAGCATCTGTACAACAAAAGAAATGGTCTCTAAATTGAAGAGACCACCCTACAAAGTGGGAGAAAATATTTGTGAGCTATACATCAGACAAAGAACTGATAACCAGGATATACACAGAGCTCAAAAAACTAAACTCCCCAAAAATCAATGAAATGGGCAACTGAACTAAACAGAACTTTTTCAAAGGAAGAAGTTCAAATGGCCAAAAAACACATGAAAAAATGCTCACCATCCCTGGCCATAAAGGAAATGCAAAACCACACTAAGATTCCACCTCACCCCTATTAGAATAGCCATCATCAAAAACACTACCACCACCAAATGCTGGCGAGGATGCTGGGAAAAAGGAACCCTCATATACTGCTGGTCAGAATGTAAGCTAGTACACCACTTTGGAAAACAATATGGAGGCTACTTAAAAAACTAAACACAGATCTGCCATATGATCCAGCAATCCCACTCCTGGGGATATACCCAAAGGAATGCGACTCAGGTTACTCCAGAGGCATCTGCACAACCCATGTTTACTGCAGCACTATTCACAATAACCAAGTTATGGAAATAGCCAAGATGCCCCACTACTGACGATGGATTAAGAAAATGTGGTATCTACACACAATGGAATTTTACTCAGCCATGAAGAAGAATGAAATCTTATCATTAGCAAGTAAATGGATGGAAATGGAGAACATCATCTTAAGCAAAGTTAGCCAGGCTCAAAAGGCCAAAAATTGTATGTTCTCCCTCATATGCGGACTTTAGACCTAAAACAAATGCAGAAATATTATTGGACATGGGTCACATGCTAAGGGGAGAACACATACAGGAGGAATAGGGAAAGGTAGGGAACCCAAAACTTGAAAGTGTTTGATGTGCCCACTGTAGAGGAACTGACAGAGGCCACTATGGGAAGGTGACCTGGAAGTAGTGAAGAGGTCTGGCAGAGATGAAGCAATTCAGGTTGTAATACACATGTGCATGGAAGCAATGCTAGGAATCTCTCTGTATAGCTACCCATATCTCAATCTAGCAAAAACGCCATGTCTTTCTTATTATTTCTTATGCCTTCTCTTCAACAAAATTGGAGAAGAGGGCAGAACAGGTTCTGCCTGGAAGCAACAGGTTTGGGGGGAGAGGGATGGCAGAGGCAGGGGAGAGATGGCCCAAACAATGTATGCACATATGAATAAATGAATAAACCAAAACAACAAAAAGCAGACGTGATAAAGTGAGAGCTTGAGGATACACCTATCCAAACTGGGAACACCCAAACACACCTTATGCCTAGGACAGACTACACCCAAGAAGCACACTTCTGGTTGACACTATAAAAGCTGGCCAGCTGGACTCAACCACCAGAACCTGTACTTCTCCTCATCCTTTGCACTCAAGCAGCCTAGGCCAGCATCAAGGGACCATTCCTGTGGCCTCTCCTTGCCAGCCTTCTCGCCACTCTGGCGGGTGACTTTCCTTAGTTGTTCTTGATCTCCTGTGTCGCAGCACCGGTCCACCACAACTAGTACCTTCTAGCTCTGGCCATCTGCTACAGGTCCAATGCCCGGTTACTGTGGTCACTTTTTTCCCAACAGCCTTACTGTGGACTGAGTGCTCCTGGCGGCCACAGCCAGTGAGCTCTCCCTCTTGCTTTCACCAGAACCTGCTTTTGGTCGGTGACACTTGTGCCAAGGACCCTTCTGTTTGGTGAGCCCTTGCCTGTGTAACAATTCCTTCAATAAATGTGTGAACTGAATTTGTAGCTCTGGGTCCTCCTTCACTTGTGTCACCCACCAAGTGTGGCTGAACACCATGATCGAGTGCATGCTTTTATGGGCCTGTTCACTACACTCCCACTCTCACTTTCAGGGTAGAAGTTGGGGAATGTTCAATCCTCAAGAACCCAGCACACCCTTGATAACCCAGAAGCAGCCTGTTCAGCTGGGAAGAATGAGCAGAGAGAATGAGGAAGAAAAGGCCACTTGTCACCAAAGATGTCACAGTCTTGTACATGCCCAAATGCCCAAAGTGTGTGAACTGATCCTGTATAGACTTGCATTTCCTCCACTGCAGTTGCCAAGGAAGGGCGAGGTGTTTTCCAACCTGGTCATGTTGAACACAGTAGACAGGATGGTCACTTTGTACCATAAAAGCTGGAGATAAAGGTGCCTAGTTGGTCCTGTTTAACCTGTGCTTCGGGGCCACTATTCGCCCCCACAATGCTCCTGTTCTGAAAGAGCCAGGTCCGCTATAGCAGGCATCAAATGCTGAGCTCACACACCAAAGTTGTTGGTTTGGGGAGAATTACTCTTGCTTTTTTATGTCCCATGTGCATTTTTCCAGGTGGGTTTTCCACCTTTTGGACTATGAATTGTTTAATGTGGAGACCAGCAGCTCTTTTAGCCTGGGGACCTGGGAAGACAGCTCTGAAACCAGTGCCTTGAGACACAGCTGGCAGAGAAAACTTTGTAGCTTAGAAATGTCATTTACGAGGGACTGAATAAACCCATCAACCTGACATACGGGATGTCAGATCTACAGCCAAGTCCAGCAACTGAAACACTTTGAAAAGAGGCCCAAGATTTTCCTACCATATCAGGTAAACTGCAAGAGAAAAAGGCAACAAAGCAAAAAACCTAAAATATATGGAGTTTGTGGTGGTTTCTAAGTAGCTATGCTGTTTCTGATGATTTTCAAACCTTTTCATTTAAACCTAAAACTTAAGAAAATAAGGTCAGGCAACTAAAATCTGCTTAAAAAAATACTCAGCTGCCTACAAATGAAGTAGTTCACTGGAGAGAACTATTTCAGGGATGAAAAG